ATCTTTTTATTACTGCATATTCATAGAAAACATAAAAGGAAATTCAGAGGCTTATTGTGCAGGTCACTTTCATGGTGATGTTGAGTGTTTATTCTTTAATGTCAGAGATAGTATATACAAATACGGCTTTTAAAGGGGGAAGGAATCGTTTGTTTCTCTGATACTCTTACCTGTTGTGGTTTAGTTTCCAACTTTTCATTCAGTGTTTGAGTTTGTATTCTGCATGTAGAAGTGAGAATTATTACTTGTTAAGAAAGAGATAAATGTATTATGGTAAGTAATCTGTAGATTTTGTAATTGATATTATTGTTGTCTGTTTACTTGAAAATATTTGCTTTGCATGAAAGTTTGTATCAATACTTGCAAGTGGTAAGAAATCAATAGTGTGATTAAAAACAAGAGCTACCCATCCATCTCCAGGAACAACCTCTTTTAATCATTCTTGCTTGGTTCTTATTCTACTTCCCTGTATTATTACTAAAATTATGACAGTAACTCTATATTATGTGCTTATACATTAGTTTCCAAAATTTATCCCCTTAAGATAATTTCATTGATTCTAATATGAAAGATGAGAATTTAGTTAATTCATAGCCTTATTTATTTCTCACTTTTCTTAATTCTCACTATTTATATTTTAGTTTATAGTTATATTATTTTTTGGCAATCCTATTTGTTACCATTGTGAGATTTGGGTATCAGAGTTATTTTCACAAGTCTCTATAAAACTAAGTCTTAATAAGGCCACAAAGAACCCCCACACTTTTCCCAAAGCTTCTAAATAGAGATTCCTTATCTAAATGTGGCTGCCAGTTTTATCTGGAAAGGCCCACAAACCCAAGCATCAGTAGAATAGGGATAATTTTGGTGTCTTGTTGTCTGGAGTAAGGCTGGTGACCAGATCTGATCTCAAGCTTGATAAGAGCTGTGAACCCCCAGCCAGCCTTAGTGGCTTGGTTTGCCTGGTTAGGCTTCTCCGGAACTCAGGAGAAGCCAAGATGTTTGAGTTTCCACCTAATCTTGCTGAGGCTTTATCCAGAACATGCATTTGTTGTGTTTTCTCTCAAGGAAGATCTCTAACTGGATCTCATCCCTTTTATTTATATTGAAAATTATGTCAGTGTGTGTGTGTGTGTGTGTGTGTGTGTGTGTGTGTGTGTGTGTGTAAAATCAGAAGTTGGATGCACATAGGCTGATAAATTTACCAGATTTTTTATTTTGTTTTTTAGTTACAGTTTCTAGTATCTGATATTATATGCATGAGCCTTTTGTTGGATGCTTTTGCAAAACTGATGCGGAGAATCACAACATTAAGCAAGTCTTCCCAGTACATGGGCATGTTTCCTGTATAGGTAACCAAATTCACTCTATTTAAAAAATAAATAAAAAAGATACCACTCTAAATCATACAGTAAACAGAGGATTTTAATATATCATGCCATCTTTATAACATGGAATTAAACAACAGAAGCTGCCAGAAGCCTGATGACATATTTAAAATTTACAGAGCATGCTCACTATCCATCCTTCTTCAAACCAGCCACATACTCAGTGTGGCATTGTAACTCCCTAAACTAATGAACTATTCCAAAGAATTATTGTTGTTGATAACAATTCCAAATAGAAAAGCTGGTGTGTACCTTGGAAGAAAACTGTTATTAATGGACAATTTCATCATAGTGGTGAAGACAGTGTATTTTGCTTGCTTCAGCCCACTGTTACTCTAATATATAAAAGCCCTGGGTTCATCATGACTGGAGGCTCGGCCAACCAGAAGTCAGTCCTGCAGTTAGTGCTAGGTTGCCAGGGCGAGCCAGCACTGACTGCTGGGGTTGTAAGCGTGGCAACCCAGCACTGACTTCTGACAGGGCTGCGAATCAGGCCCAGAGAGAGGCCTGAAGAGAGAAGCAGGGTCTGATCCATAGCCTGTGTGGCAGCTATTGATCAACACTTTGCCTGTCTCTTTCCTTCTGGGTGGAGCCAGCAGCCATGCCTCCATTTCTCTCCAGATCTACACTGGGGCTGCTGATCAGCCCCTTCTTTCTGATCAGGCCCCATTGATAGGCCCAGAGACACTGACTGTCATAAAAACTGACCAATCAGAACCAAATTTGGGTGAAGTGTGAGAAGCCAATGGCTGTCTAAGAGGTGGAGTTTTTGATGCTGACTGGCATAGAAACTGACCGATCAGAACCAAATTGTGCCGAAACCAGTTTGGCTCAATGGATAGAGTGTCAACAGACCTGCAGACTCAAGGGTCCCAGGTTCGATTCCGGTCAAGGGCATGTACCTTGGTTGCGGGCACATCCCTGGTGGGGGTGTGTAGGAGGCGGCTGATCAATGTTTCTCTTTCATTGATGTTTCTGATTTTCTCTCTCTCCCTTCCTCTCTGTAAAAAATCAATTAAAAAAATACACACACACACACACACACACACACACACACACACACACACACATATATATATATATATATATATATATATATATATATATATATATATATTTTTTTTTTTTTTTAAGAGCCAAATTGGCTGCAGTTAGGGGCGAGATCACGCCTGCAAGGGAGGGCAGTTGGGGGTGATATCAGGCCAGCAGGGGAGGGTAGTTAGGGATGATCAGGCAGGCAGAGGCAGTTAGGGGCAATCAAGCCATCAGGGAAGGGCAGTTAGGGGCAAGATAAGGCTGGCAGGAGAGGGCTATTGGGGGTGATCAGGCAGGCAAGCAGGTGAGGAGCCAGCAGTCTCAGATTGCGAGAAGGATGTCTGACTGCCCACAGGGATCAGGCCTACACCATCAGCCAGACATCCCCCAGGGGTCCCTGATTATTGAGAGTGCAGGTTGGGTTAAGGGAAACCCCCCTTTCTCCATGCACAAATTTCATGCACCAGGGCACTAGTCTATACTAATAATAGCCTAGGTGGCCCTTGCATGATGCCTTCACATCATCACAAGATGGCCACCTCCATGTCATCATAAGATGGCTGCCCCCCCCCCCATGGCATCACAAGATGGTCACCACAAGATGGCCATCAGGGTAGGGCAGTTCGGGGTGATCGAGTTAGCAAGGGAGGGCAGTTGGGGGCAAATGGGCCTGCAAGGGAGGGCAGTTAAAACAATTGGGCCAGCTGGGTAGGACAGTTGGGGGTCATCAGACTGGCAGGCAGAAGCAGTTAGGGAAATCAGACAGACAGGCAGGTGAGTGTTTAGGAGCCAGTAGTCCCAGATTGTGAGAGGGATGTCCGATTGCCAGTTTAGGCCCAATCCTTGGGATTAGCCCTAAATTGGCAGTCGGATATCCCTCAAGGGATCCCAGATTAGAGAAGGTGCATGCTAGGCTGAAGGAACACCTCCCTTCTCTCCCCGCACCCCCCCTGCACAAATTTCATGCACTGGGCCTCTTGTTATAAATAAGTATTCTCCTCATAAGTTCCTAGGCCAATAGATGTAAAGATTAATCAGATACAAGAGAACAATCTGGGGGAAATATGTTTTGTGATGAAAGTGCTCTGGAGTTGTGTCTGTTGCTAATAACTTTTGAGTTAAAAGTTTGGTTAGCAAAAAGGAAAAAAAAAAAAAAAAGAATTATTTTCCCTTAAAAAAGCCTGGTCTAGTGCCTTCTAGCATCCAGCATTGTTATGGGAAGTCATAAGTCAGTTTGAGTTTCATTTCTTTGTATGTGACTTTGAGGTGATCCTCTGGGAGCTTTTAGAATATTCCACTTGTCTAGATGTTAGAAATTCAATGTGGTATGACTAGTTTTGGATCTGTTTTTATTAATTGGGATATGCACTCTGGTTCTCTTCAATCTGATGACGTGGATTCTTCTATAGTTCTGAAAATTTTTCTTTGGCTATTTCTTTGATCATTTTTTCCCCTATTTTCTCTGCTTCTCTGTCTGCGTTTACATTGCTCAATGACACTTATGAAATATCTTCTTTCTGTTAGGCATTGTGACACTTTAGAAATCAAAAGGAGCCATGAATGCCTGAACAGTGCTTGCTCTAGAGCAGTGTTTCCCAAAGTGTGGTACGTGTAACCCTAGGGGTACAGGAAGAGTTTGGTGGGGGTACACGTTGCACCCGAATTTGGTGGGGACATGCACTGCACCGTGCATGTCCCCACCAAATTCTACGTTCGAGGGGTACTCAGCATTAAGAAAATTATAGAAGGGGAACACATATGTCAAAAGTTTGGAAAACACTGCTCTACAGAATTGCATCAATTCCTAAGTTTTTGTACAGTATCAGGATCAAGAAAACTCATGTTCTTCCTAAAGTAGGTAACCCATAAGGGAAATGCTAAATGAACAGGCTTTGTTTATAAGTTCTCTATTGCTGCTTACCTTTTACTTATTCACTTGTATTATTACTCACTGTTTATCTTTTACAAAATAACTTTTAGTGGCCTTTATATCTTTCTGGTAACACCAGGTAGAATGTTTTTACTTTAGCAGCACTACTGAGCTAAAATTTAGGTTGGTCATCTAAATAATTCAACATGGTCTCTGAGGGAAAAATATTTTGTACGTCATTAATTATTTTATAGCAAGCAATAAAAATCTATTTTGCCTTAAATAGACAAACACTTTATTGGCAGAATAAAAGGAAGACATGAGGAGTTAAATCTTCAGAAGACCAAGTAGTAGGACTGTTTTGCTAATTTCTGTGGTAGGAATAAATAGGCAGTTTGTCTTTAGAATGCTGACCTCACAATGATTCTCCTCTAAACGTTTTTGTTAATTGTTACATTCTGTTTAAGATTCATGCTTTAAGGAGAGAAACCATTGGTTTAACTTGATTCACAAGCTCACTTTTTGGAAAAGAAAGGACTATAATTGACAATTCACAATGAGCACTAAGAATGGTGAAACAGTACTTCCCAAAGGAAAAACAGAGCTTTATCATAAAAAAGAATGGACAAAAACAGCAAGTGTCCACTCTGTTTTGTGCCAATGAGCCAATGTTTAATTCTAACCCACTGGTTTCTTTCTCATGCTAGTGCTGCCGCCTGTATTGGTGCCGAGACACAGTGAATATAACCCCCAACTGAGCCTTCTGGCCAAGTTCCGCAGTGCCTCCCTCCACAGTGAGCCACTCATGCCGCACAATGCCACCTATCCTGACTCTTTCCAGCAGCCTCCATGCTCGGCATTCTCACCGTCCCTGTGCACAGCCAGCTACTCTCACTCCCCAGGAAGCCCTTCAGAGCCAGAAAGCCCCTATGAACACTCAGGTCAGTAAAAGTTGCCAGTCTATGTGGTATACAATTCAACACATTTATGGTGTGATCATCATAATTTTTAACCACTGTAACTCATGTTCATGTAGAGCTTTACAGTTTATATGGCAATCTCTTATGTGCTCTTGGACCCTGCCCAGCCTCTAAGATGATCAGTACTATATCCATTTTGGAGCAGTTATCCTGGAGCTACAACATGCCTTTGCTCTGGTTTTTTTGTCCCAATCCTTTGTAAGCTCTCAGAAATTAAATGGACTTGAATAGCATACTTTGGAATTTTGAGGTGTTTGTTTGTTTGTTTAGTTTTTGTTTTTTAAAGCCAGTAGCAATAAGCTTATAATAAGCTTTTCTAAGCTGAGCAGAAAAAACTGACAGGAGAGCAAGCAATGAGTGCCTCTTTCAACAATCAAAGGGAGTCTCTCCTACAAAGGATGTGTAGGGCAGAAGGAGGCCCCAGTTCCAGGCAGTGCATTCTTCCTTTTTTGCTATAAGAAGTAAGCACAGCATCTGAAGCACTGACCTACTCAATCGATATTTGCTGAATTAAAAAAAAAAAAAAAAAAACATGAAGAAGGGAGAGGGAGAACCAAGCCCATAGTGATAATTGCATGTACTATCATACCTATAGTTATAACTTAGACAATGAAAAAAAAAATTTGTGAACCTCAGGAGTGTGAGAAAATATTCTGAGCTAACAAGTTTCTGTAAGCATGCATAAATGCATTTGGTGCCAGATGTTGTGATCTGCCTCATTCATTTCTTCATATATTTATTTATTTAATAGATATTTATGGAACTCATACTATATGCAAGCATTGCCATAGGGTGCCAAGAGTAAAATTAAAAGATTAATAAAAATTATCCCCATCCTCAAAAAATTCATAAAATGTGGGAAGGTAAAGAAGTTACCTCTTCTCCTTAGAGTTATTCCTTTCTTCCTTTTACCCCCTCAAGCAGTGCACTTACTATTTTATATATATATATATCTACTATTTAAATTCATCACATCTACTACTTGCACACTTATTAAATGTATATAATTTTTGTGTGTCAGTCATTTTATCTTTTATATGTTTAGTGTAGAGCCTAAAATGCAGAAGTTGCTCAACAGTTGATTACACAAGCATTTGGAACTTGGGAGTAGAGCTTCAGGGTCATAGATCCGGATTCTATTGAGTCAGTAATGACTGAGCCTACTCAGACACTGTGTTAGTGATAGAGGTGCAATGATTGATTATGACAACAGTCACTGCCTCTCACTTTCCAGAGACAGTGACTATTAAAAACAATTATGTAAATAAGTGACAACGTGATAGAGGTCTTACCAGTCCAGTCAAGTAATGATAAGGGCTTAAACTAAAAAAGGGATGTGGTGACAGAAAGAAGGAAATTAATTTCAGATTGTAGAGGACTTGATGTGAGGCTGAAGGCTGAGCTCTGGCCTGGAAGTCATGCACAGAGTGGAGGAGGCAGTTGAAGCCTTGTAAGTAGGTGAATTCACTGAGAAAGGAACACAACAGAAAGAGACCTCATTTGAGGACAGAGCCCTATTTAAGAGACAGGAGGATAATTATGTTGCAAAATATACATTTACATAAAACACATTTGTGCTATAAAGATTTCCTGTACTAAATTTGTATACCTGAACTTATTAAACTAACAGGTTGGTGTGTGTTTTCTCTCTTCCCATTCATGAATGACAGATCTCAAGATTTATGCACAAACTGACTAGTTTCTTACAAAGGGAATAGCCCTTTTAATTTCAAAGCAAATTGAGATTAACTAGCTCAGCTCCTTAATGTAACAAAATTCAACTACTTAAAGTGTGCAATTCAATAGTTTTTCATATGTTGTATTATATTTTTTAAGTTGTAATAAAATACTCATCACAGAAAATTTGTCATTTTAACCACTTTTAAGTGTATGTCCAAGTGGAATTAAGTATATTCACAATGCCGTGTAATCATCACCACTATCTGTTTTCAAAGTTGTTTCATCACCCCAAACAGAAACTCTGTACCCATTAAACAATAGATCCTCATTCCCTGCCTTCCTCCCTGGTTAACTTCTAATCTACTTTTTGTCTCTATGTATTGAATTTGCCTATTCTAAGGAATCATGCCATATTTTTGTGTGTGTGTGAGTGTGTCTGGCTTATTTAGTTTAGCATACTGTTTTCACAGTTCATCTATGTCATAGCATTTATCAGTTACTTAATTTATGTGACTGAACAATATTCCATTATATAGGAATATTTAATTTTTAAAAAGTAATTTATTGGTCTATTAGATATTTGTGGGTGTTTCCCCCCCCCCCATCTTTAAGCTATTGTGAATAATAGCTATGAACATTGATGTGCAAGTAGCTGTTTGAGTCACTGCTTTTAATTCCTGTGGGACTATACCGAGAGAACAGCTGGGTCATACAGTAACTCTTTATATTAAGACCCTTAATTTTATAGGCAGATTTACTCCAGGTCCTGCTGAAGGGTCATCTTGTTTTATAACCTTTTCACCAGTGTTACAGTTCATTTTCTCAAAGGGAAATACCTTAATCGTGGTTATTCAGTATGGTCAGATGACCACCTGCAGTGCCTGTTCAAGCATACATGGCTGCATTCAACCACTGATCTATAGACTCGGGATTTCTGGGAGTTTGGCCAGGAACTTGCATTTATTTACCCATTCATTCATTTACTTTTATTTAAATACTAGAAGCCCAGTGCATAAATTCCTTGCACATAAAACACAAATGTGTTTTGTGTGTGTTTTTTTTGTGTGTGTGTGCCCCTCAGCCCAGCTTGCACCCTCTCCAAACTGGGACCCCCTCAAGGGATGTCCGACTGCCATTCAGGCCCTATCCAGGCAGTCAGACAACCCATTCACAATCCAGGACTGCTGGCTCCCAACCTCTCACCTGCCTGCATTTTAGAGCCTGATTGCCCCTAACTGCTTCTGCCTATCAGCCTTATCACACCCCTAACTACTCCCCTGCCAGCCTTGTCATCCCTAACTGCCATCCCCTGCCAGCTTGGTCGCCCTCAACTGCCTTCCCCCTGCAGGCCTGGTCCCTAACCCTCCCCTGCAGGCCTGATCACCCCTAACTCCCCTCCCCTGCTGGCCCAGTCTCCCTAACTTCCCTGCCTTGCCAGCCTGGTTGCTTCTAACTGCCCTCCCCTGCCAGCTCGATTGCCCCTAACTGCCCTCCCCTACTGGCCTGGTCACCCCTAACTGTCCTCCCCTACAGGTCTGGTCATCCCCACTGCCCTCCCCTGCTGGCCTGGTTCCCCCAACTTCCCTCCCCTGCTGACCATCTTGTGGCTGCCATCTTTGACCACATGGGGGTGGGCATTTTGTGTTGGAGTGATGGTTAATTTTCACAATACATCTTTATTATATAGGATTTTTTTTTATTAATTTTAAGAAGACTTGAAGGAGGGAGAAAGACAGAAAAGAGATACATTGATGTGAGAGAGAAACATTGATCAGCTGTCTCCTATAAATGCTCAATCCCTGGGCATGTGCCCTGATCTAGAATCAAGCTGGTGACCTTGTGATGCATGGAACAACCCTTAATCAACTAAGCCACATAGGCCAGGTCAGAATCTGCATTTTTAACAAGTTTCACTGGTGGTTTCCATGCAGACTTAAGTATGAGAACTACTTGAATGGACAATTCAACAAAGGGAGACTGGTTCAAAATTTTAAGCTGTTGAACTCTATCATTTATATAACAAACTGACATTAGGAATGCATATAGAAGGAATCAGTTATTCTGAGGTTCTCTTTAAAGAGTGTTTCTTCTGCCTCAGGATTTTTTATTGTGTAATGAATTAATTTCTGATAAGATAGTATCTACTTGATTGTACATCATTTTCTTAACCATGATCACTTTCCAATCATCTATATATATATAAGCCCAGAGACCAGAATGGCAGAATGATCAGAATGACCAGTGGCTATGATGCACATTGTGGCAGCCAACCAGCCTGATCTGGGTGCTGATTGGCCCCAACACCCCAATCAGGGATGGGACTGGCTGGCCAACTGCCGTGGCCACTCTCCCCACTGGCCTGGCCCAATAGGGCCTCTTTGGGATGGGCTGGCTGGACCCAACCTGTGCACTAATTCGTGCACCAGGCCTCTAGTAGGATGGATATTTGGGAAGAAGAACCCTTCTCAATGAGCCTTGGGCTCAAGGTTATAATCGGGTTTCATCTATCCTGTATTTGAGGGCATATTTGAACTATCTCAGAAACAGAACATTGCTGTGGCCATTGTACAGACCATGACAACAGAGGAGCTAAAAATTAAACTAATTTCAAATGGTTAGCTTTCTCTGTTATAAAAGCCAGATAACAGGCTCTTCTGTTACCAAGAAAAGCAAGGAGAATAGCTCCTCGGTTTGAAAATCTTATGAAAGCATTTAAATTCAATGATAAGTCATAAGTCAGAGGGAAAACTATTCAACCCTTTAATGAGGAGCTTAGGACAACCCACTTCCCCTGTAGAACACTCACAGTATCGCTTATTATGTTACTGGTCTCTAGCAAAAACACTGTCCACCAAGGAGTTTAACAGTCAAAAAGGTTGGGTCAGGTCGTCTTTGTGTAGTTTATCAGTTTGACATTCCTTTGTTTTACTTCTTTCTTATAGTTAACACACCACCTCTATTTTATTAGGCCACAGAAACCCCAGAGAACCAGAATGACTGACCTGTAGATACCACAGCTCATAGTCATTTAATACTATCAATGCCTAATGGAGATACATTTGCAGATGAACAGCTAAATGTATTTATTTTCCAGGAGTGTTTTATGTTACCCCAAAATAAAACAAACAAAAATCCAAACAAACCAAATGTTCTTGCTTCTATTTCCAAAATGTTTTAAGGGGCAGTTAGTATGGCTTTCTTTGCATTTTAACTTTGGCATTCTTCAGTACCACAGAGTGGACATTTGTTTAGCATCCTGTTTACTAGAATACATTAATCTTTTATTTTAACCTAACATTTGTAGTTCTTGATGTTTGCTATGGAATTGGATATTTAAGAAGTTAATTTTCCCCATTTCTGTTTTTACTATAGATTTAGAATGGTGTCTTTTGTTGAGGCTTAGAGAGATGCTCTTAGAAATAGATGTAAATAGCATTTTTACAAAATGTTGTGTCTTACAATAGACTAGAAAAATGTTGTCTAATTTAGTGTTCATATAGAGCATGTAGTGATTTTGTATAAATACCATTTTGATACCCTGGATATGAGTTGGGGAAAGAATCTGCATGCCTAACAAGTTCCCAGGTGATGCAGGCCTGCAGGTCCATAAACCACACTGAGTGGGGAGGATCCAAAGGAGTGTACTGCTTAAAGTATCCCAATTCTTTTTATAAGGTAAAGACCTTTTGTAAGTCAGGTAACCCCTAACTTATCTGCTTTAAAAATGTATATTTAGTGCATAATGGAACACACTGTAGGTACAAGAATTACAAGGATATTCAAAGAAAAGAAAGGTTATACAATCCATAGAAGGGCAGAGAAAAAGTGTGGGTGACAAAGAACTCTGAACTTTTATTGGCCATTTAACTGAAAAATTTGGGGTGAAAACATAACATTCATGGTTTCCTAATGAAATATATAACTCTCTTTAAAATATCTTTATGGCGAAAGTAATTAAGTATTTGTACATTAAAGAGAATGTGAGTTTATTTAGATAGAATTTTATTTTCTTTCTTAAATAATTTAAAGTGCTATCCAATGTTTCTGATTTGGTTTTGTCATATCCAAACTATCAAATTTCATCTTTCATTTGTTAGGAAATAGTACTTTTTGCCACAGGTACTCAGTGTGGCATACAAAAATAGTAATACGCTATCTTTCTCATGCGGAGATGAAGTAACCTGCCAGTTTCCTTTGATCTGTGTTTCTTTTAGAGGTGATGAACTTTGCATGGATCCACTCATATTTTTATTTGCTTGGCCCTCTCAATACTCACAGATATATGTACAAATACTGTAAATATGGGAGAGTCACTAGGTCAGTGGCCTTTGCCATAGATGGATTAACCAGATAAGCTCACCACAGTTTTCATTAAAGTGATATATTTGAAATGATTGTAAGGCAGCTTACTTGGTCTTGAAGCCAACTTTCTGCTTAATAGCATTAATGTAAACTTTCTGATGAAATCAGGAGATGGAAAGCCCAAGAACAATAGTAGTAATGTGCTATCTGGTTTGCTTTTTTTCAGACTTTCAGCCAGTTTGTTATGAGGAGCCCCAGCACTGGTGCTCAATTGCCTACTATGAACTGAACAACCGAATTGGTGAGACGTTCCAGGCTTCCTCCCGAAGCATACTTATAGATGGATTCACAGACCCTTCAAATAACAGGAACAGATTCTGTCTTGGACTTCTTTCTAATGTAAACAGAAACTCAACAATAGAAAATACCAGGAGACACATAGGAAAGGGTAAAAGAAATGTGTAATTTCTTTTTCTATTCTTCTGAGCTAAAACATAGAAACAGAAACAAGCTGTTCATTGGCTATGTAACCTTTTGGAATGGCACAGAGCTGGGTTACTCTGCCTATAAAGTGGGCATGACCCTTTTGAGGGGTTGGCATAGTGTGCATATTATGAAGACAAACATGATGTGAATATAGGATAAAATCCTATCTAAATAAGAGTGAATATGCAAATTGACCATCACATCATCACAAAGATGGAGACACTCAGTTCCCTCAGCCCTGCCAGAGTCCCCCAGTCCATTCAGCCTGGCTAGGGGAGTTGGGTGGCAGGCGCATGGTGCCAGACCCGCCCTCAGTCTCCCAGATGCCCAGGGCTGTCCGGAGGTGCAGGCAAGACTTGGACAGTCGCTGCTCAGCAAGGCCACCCAAGGCTCAAGTAACCAGGGCCAGCTGAGGCTTGCACTGCTGGCAGTGGCAGCAGCAGAGGTGTGATGAGGTGTCGCCTTCCCCTTATTGCCAGGTTGCCTTTTGCCCCTGAGGGTTCTCAGACTGTGAGAGGGGGTAGGCTGGGATGAGGGACCCTCCCCTCCAGTGCATGAGTTTTCATGTACTAGGCCTCTAGTTATTAAATAAAAGTATTGTGGATTATTTTTGAGTTGCCCAAAAAGGCTAGATAACTTCGGAAGAGGAAGAATTCTGGCTACTGATTATTTATATGAGGTAAAGTTACCTTTGGAGACTTAGAAGCTAGGGAGTTAAACATCATGAGTTATTTATTTTTGTAAATGACTAGGGCTCTCCTGTGTCTGGGCATAGTTACAACAGCCTATGGCACAAGCCTCACTGGGGTCTGGCCAAGATGTTTTTGAAGCTTCCTTTATTGGCAGAATCTGGCTGAGGATCTTTAAATCATTTTCATTTATTTTAGAATAGTTGGTAGTATCTCAGTGATACCTAGATGTCCACTATAATGTCAGACTGTTCTGGAATCACAGGTGTAAAGAAACTTGAGAGCCAATTGATCTTTTCTCTCCTCATCCAGCACCTTACCTTTGGAAAGGAACCACATGAGCCTTTCTTTCATGATTTCATTTGGTGATGCATTCTAATATTCTTCCTAACATACCTCCTCAGTGCTCCTGTTGTAGTAAATGTACAAGCCATTGATTAAAAACATTCATTTAATTCATTTATTTTTGTTGACTCTTAATGGTGACAATTACTTTATTTTTATTCATAGTCTGTATTTTCCCATGTAGTTTTGAAGTGGCTTCCAAGAAACCTTTGCAGTGAAATGATAAGTGAAAAACAGAAAATCAGAAACGGGGTAAAGGGAACAGAAAAAAAAATACAAGAATGTCATTCTTAGGGTTGGCATTGTGATTGTGATTAAAATTTCACTATAAGTTTCTTGACAAGGAGGGACACTCAATCTGTAATATAATTTTAAAAATAGTTTTAATTCATTTCAGAGAGAGAAAGAGAGAGCGATAGAAACATTAATGATGAGAGAGAAACATGGATAGGCTGCTTACTGCATGTCACCTACTTGGGATCAAGTCTGTAACTTGGACATGTGCATTGACCAGGAATTATACTTTGACCTCTGGTTCAGGGGTTGACACTCAATCATTGAACCATACTGACCAGACTGTAATGTAATTTTTTTAAAATAAATATTTATTGTTCAGATTATTACAGTTGTTCCTCTTTTTTTCTACCCATAGCTCCCCTCCACTCAATTCCCATCCCACCCAATGCCCTTACACCCCCCATTGTCCTCGTCCATAGGCATTCGTTTTTTGTCCAGTTTCTTCCCGCAACCCATACCCCTTTCCCCCCAAGAATTCAGTCCACTTCCTTTCTATGCCCTGATTCTATTATATTCACCAGTTTATTCTGTTTATCAGATTTTTTATTCACTTGATTTTTAGATTCACTTGTTGGTAGATATGTATTTGTTGTTCATAATTTTTATCTTTATCTTTTTCTTATTTTTCCTCTTCTTACAGAATACCTTTCAGCATTTCATATAATAATGGTTTGGCAGTGATGAACTCCTTTAGATTTTTCTTATCTGTGAAGCTCTTTGTCTGACCTTTCATTCTGAATGATAGCTTTGCTGGGTAGAGTAATCTTGATTGTAGGTTCTTGCTATTCATCACTTTGAATATTTCTTGCCACTCCCATCTGGCCTGCATAGTTTCTGTTGAGAAATCAGCTGACAATCGTATGGGTGCCCCTTTGCAGGTAACTAACTCTTTTTCTCTTGCTGTTTTTAATATTCTCTCTTTGTCTTTTGCTTTTGGCATTTTAATTATGATGTGTCTTGGTGTGATCCTCTTTGGATTCTTTTTATTTGGGGTTTTCTGATCTTCCTGGTTTTCTGATCTTCCTGAACTTGTAAGTCTATTTCTTTCACCAGGTGGGGGAAGTTTTCTGACATTATTTCTTCAAATAGGTTTTCAGTATCTTGCTCTCTCTCTTCTTCTGACACCCTCATAATTCTGATGTTGGTATGCTTGAAGTTGTCCCAGAGGCTTCTTACATCATCTTCAACTTTTTGGATTCTTTTTCCTTTTTGCTTTTCTAGTTGGGTGTTTTTTGTTTCTTCATATTTCAAATTTTTGACTTGATTCTTGGGATTCTCTAGTCCATTTTTGGATCTCTGTATATTATTCTTTATTTCAGTCAATGTATGCTTAATTTCTAATTGGTCCCTTTTCATATCCTTAAACTATATTTCATGTCCTTTCACTATATTTCTCAGAGGTTTCTAGAAGATTATTGAGTAACCTTATAACCATTGTTTTGAACTCTATATCCAGTAGTTTGCTTTCCTCCATTTCTTTCATTTGTGACTTGTTCCTTTGTCTCCGCATTTTGTACTCTTTCCTGTGTTGATAGAGTGGCTTTGTATACTAGTGTCCTATAGGGCCCAGTGGCTCAGCCTCACCAATTACCTGAGGTGGACGCTCTTTGTGGGCTGTGTGCATAGTCTTGTTGTAGTCAAGCCTCGATTGCTGTTGGTATCATTGGGTGAAATTGACCTCCAAACCAACTGGCTTTGAGGATCACTTGTGTCTACAATTGGAGAAGTGCTGAGCTGGAAATACCCTTATGGTGCAGAACTTGCTTCAGTGGGGCTTTGGTGCTCACTGAGTCTCCCCCTTAATGTGTCTCTTATGGATCTGAAGAGTTGTAATCTCACTTTGACCACTGGGTGCACTGGCTCTTCGATTTCCAAGGAGGTTCAAAATCAACCACTGCTTAAGGACATCCAGCAGGAGCTACAGAGACATCTACATATTCCTCTTCTTAATTTTCGATTTGGAGGTGCCCAAATGAGGCACAGCTGTGAACCGGTGCAGGCTTCTGATGAACCTTAGGCTTTCTTTTGGAAGCTCTGGAGTTCTTTGACCCAGCTGTAGTTTCTTAGGTTAGGGTGCAAAGGGCCTGGCCATTCATATGCAAACGCCTCTGTGTACAATTTGAGTGGGGTTGTAAATCGGGTGGGGCATGGTTTCAGGGAATCACGGGGCAGTGCAAACAGCAATGGTTGCCCAATGGCCCTGCCCTAATAGGTCCCTGGGTCTCTGTATTCCATGCCCTCATGCAGAAACAATGAACTCTGTGACCACCTCTGAGAGAAAATCACCCTTGTGTTCTGGCCTGATGCCAGACAGCCCAGTTTCTCCCCATATGAGTCTGGGTCTCCAGAGTCTCACCCAGTACTGGAATGCAAAGCAGTCAGGAGTTTATATCTCCCACAGCGCACCCAGTTGCCAGTCTGTTTCCACGTGCATCTCTGTACCTTTGCTTTTTTGCACTTTTGCACCTCTTACCAGTCTAGATGCACTTTTCTCTTTCCTTCTTGTTATAGAACTTCCAATCAGCCTGCCTTCCCATGGTTCTGGATGATGTCCGTTTTTTCTTTTAGTTGTAGTTTTGATGTGGTTGTGCGAGACAGCAAGTTCAGGTGTTTACCTATGCTGCCATCTTGGTTCCTCTCCTGTAATGTAATTTTTATTACAAAGGGAGAAACATAACAGCTCCTCAAAGGAAATAATACTTTTTTTTTACATACCATTTTTCAAATATGGTTTTAGTTTCAAATGTTTTTTATAAGAATATGCAAGTGAGCCAAAACCGGTTTGGCTCAATGGATAGAGCATTGGCTTGCAGACTGAAAGGTCCTGGGTTCGATTCCAGTCAAGGGCATGTACCTTGGTTGTGGGCATATCCCCAGTAGGGGTTGTGCAAGAGATAGCTGATCGATAACTCTCTCTCATCGATGTTTCTACTCTCTATCCCTTTCTTTTCCTCTCTGTAAAAAATCAATAAAAATATATATTTTTTATAAAGAATATGCAAGTGAAATCTAAAGGCAGACATTAAAATATAATATTGTAGAGCTGTTTGCTGAGGGGCTTTTCAGATTGATCTACATGTTGGATTTCTACTTGATCCAAAGATAGAGTTAAAGTACTGAAGGAGTATTTAGTGTATTCTGGGAATCTTTCTGCAAGCAGCTTGTTCAAAGTGCTGCTGATATGGACATGAAGAGTTGGTGTTGTATGTGGTTGGCTGAGAGCTGATCCAAAGGGTTAAGGAACCATAGGAGAGAGAGATTAAGAAAACTTAACTAAGTGCTTACTTGGATGGAAGGGCAGTCCAACCTCACATGGTGCTTGGATAACACCCAACCAACTGAGCCACACAGGCCAGGGCTGGCTTGGAATATTTTTAAAGTAAGAGTTACCAGTTTTTTATGAGGTCAGGGGATTTTTTTTTTTTAGGTGCTCCTGTGGATTATTTGGTTCAGAGTATCAGGGATTCCTGGAGAATCCGCCTAAATAAATTTGCAATACAGTGCACTCCTAAATTAGAGAATAAATCAACTTGTTCTATGAGTTAATTAATAGAGACAGATTTCAGAGATACTCATTCATGTCCCAAAAATTTATTGAGCATCTGCTCTTAGCCAGACTATTCTGCTCCTA